CTGACAGGGAAGAGACAGATTTTCAAATAAGGTCAGAAGCTGCTGGAGGCTTTAACAAGACTTTGTCCAACAACATGGAGACCTTGGTGACCTTGGTAAAAGCAGTTCCTGTGACACTGTATGCTTGAGAGGGAGTGGGAAGCAAGGAATTGAAGCAAGTGAGAAGAATCAACTCTTTCAAATAGTTGTGTTTATAAAGGAGAGCAGGAAAATGGAGGAGTAGCTGGACAGAGCAACAGAGATAGGATTTTTCAGTGACTTTTTTTTTTCTTTTTAAAAAGGGAGAAATTATAGCAATTTTGAATGCCAATTAGAATGATCCAGTAGAAAGGGGAAAACTGATGATGCAGGAGACAATTCTGGAATGAAACTCCAGTAAGTGAGGGGATGACATCAAGAACACAAATAGAGGGTTAGACTTGGGAGCAATGACAATTCATCACAGCAGGAAGGAAAATAGATACAGGGACAGATCCTTACAGGTACACAGTTTGCAGAAGCTGGTTTCCTAATGAAAATCAAGACACGCAGGAAAGTGTTTGAAAGTTGGGATAGTTCCAAATATATCTTAGCTACTGGCCATTGTGCTAACATTACACATCTGCCAACTGGCTATGTAGAATTGCACACTATCAGAGGGAAAAACAACAACTTCACATGTGACATAAATACTGCATGCTTCTCTTTTTCTGTCTTACATTTCTTTTCCACTGCTAAAACACCAACAATTACTCACTGAACACTTATGTGGTTTGAGCAACAGAAGCAGGCAATTAGCCATGTCAAAGTTTAGCTGTTTCAGGGCTGCAGATAGGTTTTGGTCCTCTCTGAGGTACAGAGCTGGCAGCTCAAGGTTGTTTTTAGAGTTTTCTTGGTAACCCTAGTATGCCCATGTATTAGGTGAGTAGCCCTAGCACACTGGTACTATCTAAAGTGGCCCCGAATGCAGCTAGATGGCAATTAGTAAAGAAGAACCTACTGATGACACAAATGAATGTGGGCCTTCAGAGTTCCACCCCGCTACAAAAGTTCAACTTATTCAAAGAAATTGGCCAATTTATAAAATCCTAAATCTGTCATCAGTTTCAAAGACTTTAATCCCATCTAAAAACTTTATTGGGGGGAAAAAAAACAAACAGTGTGAATATAATGCTGCTGGTAGTATTATTTTCCTATTTTTAAAATTATTCATTGCCTTAGCCATTTCCATGACTTATTATTTTATGTCTAACTGTAGTGGCCATCTTCAGAAAAACAGCCAGTCTTCATCATTCAAAGTAAAACAGACGTGGCTCTTGCTTTCTTATCAAGGGAAATAACTGCTTCTGAAAGTTTACAATCATCTACTCATTATTTTATTTCCCCAAGCCACCATTTCAGATATCTTCTGCAACAACAATAACACTTGCTCAAAACAAATCCATGGGCAGGAGGAGAACTTGCAAATAATATTACTCAGTCAAGTCATAAAACACTAAGATGTCTCAAGAATACTATATAAAAGTAAAATGTGTTACAGTATTTTATTAAACAGCAGCTAAGAAAGGTCCAGATGCATTGTACTGAAATAAATATGTATACAACAAAGTGTGCATGCACATCTTGCAAAATGAAATTACCTTCAAGCCCAAAGTAAAAAGAATAAAGAATAAAAGAATAAAGTAAAACAACATGCCCAAATAGTCACAGCAATTATTATTTCAAAACAAAAACAAATGTAAATTTAATGAGACAATTATAACCAAGTCATTTCAATTCATTCTTAATAAAGCTTTCTAGCCACAAATACTTTTAAGACTCCAAAGCCTTTGGCCAAATTTCGTCACCGAAAGAAATGTGTAACAGTTACTCCCATCACATTGTCTAGATCTATGTTGTCCATAGAAATCAGATGCACGCTATATGCATAATTAAAAATTTTCTAGTGGCTACTCAAAAAGTAAAGAGAAACAACCAAAATCAGTGTTGCAAATATTACTGGGTTAACATGTAATTAATATACCATTCTTTTGGGGGTTTGGAGAGTGAATGCTGGGAATTGAACCCAGGTCCTCACACATAGTAGGCAATTGTTCTATCACTGAGCTATACCTCCAACCTTGATTTAAAATTCTTTATTTTAATATTTATTTTTTAGTTGTAGTTGGACACATACCTTTACCTATTTATTTTTATGTGATGCTGAGGATTGAACCCAGGGCCTTGCATGTACGTGCTAGGTGAGTGCTCTACTGCAGAGCCACAACTCCAGCCCCCTGACTTAAAATTCTTAATGAGACATTTTACATTCCTCTTTTTTTCACTAAGTCTTTTATACTGATTGCACTCTTAATTCAGACTAGCCATATTCAGCTGCTCAACAGTCACATTTGACTAGTGGTTACCATACTGGAAAAGCACTGGTCTAAACAGTTAAGTTAAAAATAGCAGCTTTCAAAATTAGAATAAAATGACCTAACACCAGTGAATCTGGACTTTATTTCCCTAATTCAGAACTATGTTCCCAGTCTTTTCAAGGAATCTATGAGATTCCTTTTTTTTTTTTCCCAGCAATCTATCTTTGTGGGCTGTTTTTTCTTCATTACTTCAAATATCATACTGTAACAGATTGACTACAAAAGTATGTATGAAAATCCAGCTATCTTATTAAACCAGACAGCAAAGAGAGATGCAGAAATTTACAACAAAGCTACTCTTCTCACTAACTTTTTGGCTTATTTTGGGAAATAGTTACTTTTCAATATAACCTCTATCAACTACTACTGTTTCAGTGCTTCACATACTTGTCTCCTCCTTGTTATTTTTGTTTCATTTTATATTTTCTCCTGATTTAATTTTATAATGTTACTGTTTTTTTAAATAAGTTAATATTTTAAATTTTTGTTCTAATTTCCAATAAGGTAAATATTTATAGCTATAGTTAACATTAAGTGTCCAGTAATTTTTAAGCACAGAGTAATCCTGAAACTAAAAAATTTGAGAATTGCTACTCGTCACACCAGTTCTCCATAGGAGGAGAAGGAAATGAAGTCTCAACAGTTTCATAAGTTCCACAACTCTATAAATTCCACAAAATGATTATGTGTCATTAATCTTAATTCTGTAATTGTATTTACATAAAAACAAAGAATTAAATTCATCAAACATAGGTCATATACGAGAATTGTTAATGAGGCAATCTGTTGAATGTAAAAACTGTAGGTCTACCCTCAAAACACCTGTCCCTGGTTAAATTAAACTGGATATGGCCATTAACTTAAAACACTGAAGTTAATGCCCTATAATTTACACTGAGGTTAATGATCACAAAAGATGTTTCTTAATTTTTTCAAAAGACACATAAGACTAACATTTTGGTCAAAACTTCCAAAGTTAAAGTAATTCACAAATGCTAAACAATCTTTCGCACTCTAATAAATATAATCAACACATAGTATGTATTTAAGGAATATAGTGCCAGGTGCAGTGGCCCACACCTGTAATCCTAGTTACTTGGGAGGCCAAAGCAGAATGATCACAAGTTCTAGCTCAGCCTGAGCAATTTAGCAGAACCCTGTCTCAAAATTTTTTAAAGTGGGGAAGGGGGATTCCTGGGAGTGTTAGAGTGCCCCTGGGTTCAATCCCCAGAACCAAAATAAAAAACAAAAAGGAACATAGTTCTTTCCAAGCTTTGTCAGCCCCATCCCAGCAGAAATTAATAGGACAACATTTTGATTCAGAAAGGAGCAAACAGGAACGTGTATTTTCACTGTTGAGGGGGAAAAGTAACAGTAGAAATGAATAAAATATCCATATCCTGTATACAATCTGTTGCTTTGTCTACTGGACCAATAAAGGAAGTTGTAAGGGGAGAGCAAAGAGGACAGGAATAATTACAAAAAAATGCAAATTCTGAACTAATGTGGAAACATAACCATACCTCTGAAGCCTCTGATAGATCACAGTTTACCACAAAGTTCCCAGGAAAGTATAACAGCAAGTTTGCTGCAGACACAATTCACAAGTACCAATTTACAAACTTGTATTTTGTAAAAGATTAAAGTATATCCTTACCATTGAGATTCTTAAAATTTTGGTAAAACTATTTGCAGAGGCATTAATAAAAACCCAAATGACTCCTTTGTGTTAACCAAAATGTAGTCAAATGCAATAGATCTTTTAAAACTGCAATGAAATTCTGGCTTTGAAAAAGGATGAAAAAGTCTTTTCAAAACTTACTTCTCATATTAACATCTATAGGATTTACACTCGCAGCATGTACTTTGATAATAACTTCATTTGGGTAGTGTATGATAGGTAACATCATGTTCTGAGTGAAGCGAAGCACTTCATTCTTCCCATATTTATCAATCACCCAAGCGGGCATGACAGTGTTCCTTGGAGAGGTAGTACTAATCTTCCTAAATGAAAGCTTTTGTACGGCTTTGCTTCTCCAGAAGCAGGCAGCAGTACATGCATTTCTTCTCAGTACACAAGTCCGCAAAACTTCCATCGTGAACAGTGTGCTTTGTGCTCCAATAAGATGCAACTGAAGTGGTTCAAGCTCTCTTAAATTCAATCAAATTCTGCCAAACACACTAACCTATTTCAAAATTGAGCACTCGAAAGTGAAATTAACCTAGTGGAGCAAATGAAGGAATACAGACTCGTTATCGTGCTCTTCCCATCAGAAATGCTCCAGTAACGTTCTAGTCAGTGTTCTGTCCATTCTCCTCCCTCCCCCAACCACGGACAGTCCTTTAAAAGGCAACACAAAGAAAATAGCAAACAAGCAGATGTGCAACCTCCCTAGATCCCTATGCTGTCCTGAAACGGGCAGACAGTGCCAACAATCCCGATGCCAAGTAAAACCAACACTTCCCGAACACCGCCGCGACCCTAGCCCGGACTCTCCTTGCCTGCCGGCTCTCCTTGCCGCGGGAGGGAGGCCATGTGGCGACATCCAATCGCGTGCGAAGATCATTTCCCCCGGGCTGCAATTCGACCAATCGAAGTGCTCGGTGTAGAAGAGTACCGTGACGAGCGAAGATGGCTGCGCCCAGTAGCCCTGGTGGCGGCTGTTGACCTTCTGTTTCTTTCTGTTACCTGGCCCCTGTGGTGGCAGGCCGAGCGGGAAGACCATGCTGGGCCGAACCCTCCGTGAAGTGAGTGGAATTGGCCTTGGAGGGGGGGACCCCGGGAGGGTGGAAATATTCGCGGACTCGGTGGACAAGGAGTCCCGGCGCCTGATTGAGGATCTTGTTCCAGCTAGACGCCTTCTTTCTTTGAATTGAATGTGGGTATCCAGACTTTGTGGTCCTTAGGCTGTACGTGCATTGCCCATTCTGGAGGGAGGACCTCACTAGGGAAGATGTCTGCACCCGCGGAATTATGGAGTGGAAATGTGCATCCATCGACTTCTTTGTACTAGAAGTTTGCTCAGGCCTTGGTCAAGCCCAGACCCAGGGTCTCTCAGAGTGGGCTTTGCCAGATGAGGAGCATTTGGCTGGTCCACTTCAATCTTTGTGTCCCAACAGAAGCAGTTGCTGCTGAAGGGCGCAGCGAATTTGTAGGTTACAGAATTAAAATGAATAATTGTTGATTTTTCATTTTTAAAAAGTTATTCTTTAGGCTTCAACTACCGCCAAGATACCTACGATTCCCTACCTCAGTCTCCATGAGCTGGACATCATTTTTGAACACTAAAGTGTATTCGTGAATGCCTTCTGCACATCTCTTCCAAATATCTCATCAGCGAATTAATTTTAACCCAAGTTGTAACAGTACCATAGCTTTTCAACCCCCATCTTCAAAACAAAACCCCTGCTCTTTCTGAATCCTTAATATAGTCTTTTAAATAGAATATCTTTTATCCTATTGCTTATTAGAATCTTCTTCATCTTTAACATCCAAGAAATCACCAAGTCTTGTTAATTCCGTCTTGTAAATATGGCTAGAATTTGTTCTCATATTCCTGCTGTTATGACTTTTATTCTGGTCTCCTTGTTTTCTGGCCCAGATAGCTTAACTTTTACAATTATCGGAATCCCACTGCTATCACAGTCACTTAGGGCCCTTGTTAGAACTACAACTGTTTCTCACTCTAAATCAGATCTGTGTGGAAAGGATTCTCCAGGCAATTTCTGAGATTCAGAACCTATTCTCTCTTCCATCTTCCTTTGGTATCTCCACCTAAGCAGTCTCTTTTCTTCTGGGCACCCTGGGAGAGTGGAAAGATTGGCCACAAAAAAAAAAAAAAAAAAAAAAGGCTAGCTGGCAGCCTTTTAGAAAGCTATCAATTAGGAGACTTTTAAATCCACATATTTTAAATAATAAATATTTCTTCCCAAAAATGATATTATAATTTTACCATCTGAAATTGTATCTGACATATAGTGCTGTCAGTAAAGATCAAGTTTGTTCTTTAAACAAACCCCAAAACTGTTTTAAAATAAAATAAAACCTTTAAAATTATGGTGTCTCCTTTTTCTGTCCCCCCACCCTCCTCATATGCACCTTATTTTTCGCATGATCCCTTTCTGATGTTGAGTAATTGTAAGAAATAACTTTTGCCTTATGGGGGAAAAAATGAACGATTTAGGAGAACAAACACAAGGGAAGACCAAAAGGTTATCTTGGCATGATCACTTAATCACTATTTTAACAAATATTTATTTATTCCTACTATATGCAATACATTTGGTGGTTATTTTCCCAGACCAAAAAGTATCTTCTTCTCCCTCTCCCCAAGGTATCTTTTATCCACTCATTTTTTTCCCATATTCTCATAATGATGCCCCGAATTCTACCAACTGGAGACTAATTAACTCAGTATACATTCTCTTTTAAGTAGTACAGATGTCCAGAAGGGTTATACAATTTTTTCTTTCATTGTTCTAAATCACATTTCCCTCCTTAGGTAATACCCTTGTTGAGATAACCAACCAATTGAAGTAGGAGAAAATTTGCTGGGAAAGAAGTTAGGATGAGGGGCTAAACACTGAATGTCTGAGACAATTTAGGAGGTGTAAGTGGAAGCTTACAATAACAGAGGAGCACTGGAAAGATGTACTAAAAGGAGGTCAAATGCCCATTTGCAGATTTTACTCTAGTACATTCAGGAGGTGGAGAAGACTCACTTTTACCTTTCTATTGTGGCATAATCCCAGTGTTTCTAGGGGTCAGATACTAGGCTGTACTAATCTGAAAGCTTAATTAATTATATATTTAGTTGACTTCTTGGGTTTTAATTAAGAAGATTTAATCATTGTTCTCTAGGGGAATAGGTTCCAAATTTTAAACTCAAGTTATTCATTTATTCAGCTAACATTCATTGAGTACCTCTGGGTTCTGGGAACTGGGAGTTAGCATTAGACAGAAACTCCTGCTTTTGTGAAGCCTACATATCTTTTGGTAGGAAAACAAGCATTAAGTAAGAGTTTTCAAAAGTAAATTACATAATTACAGGTAGTTTACTATGAAGAAAAATTAAGCAGGCTATAGGGGGAGAACTAGTTGGCTTGCTTATGACTTAGCGTAACTGTCAGGGAAGGTTTCTCTGGCTGATATTTAAATAGGTATTATTTTTTATGTTAGGGTTTGCTGGTGAATTGAATGTGGAGTTTGAGGAAAAGAAAAGAATCAAAGAGAATACTTGGGGCCTGGGGCCTGGCAATTGACTAAAATGGTAGCATTTATCAAGATTGGAAAGGCTTTAAAAGGCAGTATATTTGGAAGGAAGATGTTCTCAAGAGCTCTCTTTTAGAGCAGGGTGTGGTGGCACATTTCTGTAATCCCAGCTACCTGGGAGGCTAAAGCAAGAGGATCACAAGTTCAGGACTAGCCTGGGCAATTTAGTAAGACCCTGTCTCAGAAGGAAAGAAAAAAAGATCTTTTTTGGAGATGTTAATTTTGAGATAGCTTCTAGATACATAAGATGGTACTTCAGCTAGTAGATGATAAATTTAGAGCTCTCCTAGGAAACAGGTTGGATATGAGGATATAAATTGGTCAGAATATAGAAGATAACTAAGCTGTGTGGCTAGATAATGTCACTTTGGAAGTTCAGTATAAAATTAAAGAAGGCCTAAAACTGTCCTTCCTTCCTTCCTCCCTCCCTTCCTTCCTTCCTTCCTTCCTCCCTCCCTCCCTCCCTCCCTCCCT